GGGGTTTGGGGCCCGCTAAAGGGCCCCAAAATATTTTGGTGGTTTGAAGGTCAAACGGTGCCATTTGGAACGGTTAAGAACTACCAATCAGTTAGTTAAAACTCTTATTTCAAGAGGGGAATATTAGTGAGATTTTTTCAGAAACCGAGGGGGGGTATCAGGACCACCCTGACCCCTCCCCCCTCTAAATCAGCTACTGCAATGTATAGAGTTTATCCCTAACACGTAGTCTACGATATAATTCCCTTCACTATGTAACAATATACTAATTTATACTACTTTTTCAGAAACTCATCCAGAAGTTTACGGAATAGTGGTCGCCACCGACTACGTCAATTACGCCCTGACTCGCGACTACTACGTGAAACTCAACGAGAGCCTCATCACCTTTTACGGCAGGGACTGTATACCATGGAGAGCCACTCGAGCGGCTCTAAGGAGACTGAGGCGCTGCGTCCCTTGTCTTCGGGCTGCAAACTTCATTAGAGTGGAACACGTGGGTTGCGAGGGTAAAGAGCTAGATGCGGCATGCAGACGTGATCCTTGGGCGATATTCTGGTCTATGTATGCTCCCCGTGGGCGCCTCTGGGCTGGTCTGAGAGGGGAAGGCAGATACCGTGGCTGTGCATTACAGAGACCTTTTTTCTAATCTTAACCAGTGCCACTGCCGGAGTCAGGTCCAATATTATAGGATCATTTAGACGGTCTACATGCGTAAGACCATTGTAAAGGGACAGAAAACCATAATTTTTTTTAGAATAGTTTGAGCTGGATGTCTACTTAAATTGTTCTCATTTAAATTTTATGAATGATTTAGATATAATGGCTTTGGTGTTTCTCTTAGGCCTTTGAAATCCATTCTGCGCTATCCATTTTTTTAAAAGAAATAATCCGAGATGTAATGTAAAAATTATATTAAGCAAATAATTTGTTGTACCTCTTAGGTTTTCCTCGGTTCCTTCTTAAACGTAAGTTATTCTTAGCTGTCCGCGTTTAAAAAATGTCTACAAGTCTTTTTTCGCCCTGAATATCTACTTATCTATTCCAGTTCAGACATAAAAAAGGCCCTGAAATAAAGGTTTATGTGATACAAACTAAAGTAGTTTTTTCTGAGCCCAAGATCCTTCCACAAGCCGAACTCCAAAGTAACGCCTTGGATTGTTCTTGACACACAGGCCAGGGGCGGATTGAGGCCGTCTCCTGGGTCTTCGGGAAGACGGTCAGATTTTCAAGTTTATATATTGACGAATATCCATTTTTTGTCAGAAGACGGTCAAAAATGGAGGATGGATCAACAAAGATAATTTGGAAGATTGTCAGAAAATATCTCTGGATCCGACCCTGCAGGCAATCCAATAATATTTTACTTCGTTTTCATTTTCAAACGTTCTCAAAGCCCGCTTCTCAAATCGCTCCTTTTTAAGGAATATACACTGAGTGGTGTCTTTAAACGTGTTCTCATTTTCTCGGTTATCTTAAGCTTTTGATCAGAAAAATAAATCTTTGCAAAACGTACATATTCAAAACCATGCAATGAGAATAAGTGATAAAGTTAGAACACGAGAGAGCGCAACATTACGCTAAAAGTCACAGGCCTACGTGTGCTAAGGACAGCGCGACATTGGCGGGTCCTAGTCTGTCCCATAACTTGACTATTTGTGAAATATAATCATTATGGTAATATCTCTTCGTGTGCATGTCACCGTGTGTAATACAGACGCTTTTATCTGTCTCATTCCGTACTCAGACAGAACATAAGGCCAACATGTTCATGCCGCTGTCCCAGATGGCGATGACCGCCTTGATATTGGAAAGCCTAGGAATTTGCAGTGCCTCTCTTATTCCTGTCCCGTCAGATTGCGACGTAGACCCCATGAGAGACGTAGATTTAAACCGGGTAGGTAGCTGAGTTAATGAGCTATTTTTTCTGTTAATTATTTTTATTTGACATCTGGACACCTCAAAGACCTCACCTGTAAGATTGAAAGTAATATGTGGTGTTAAAGCACGTGGATTCAGTGGTGGATTTAAGGGGGTGTCTTCTTCTTGTCACATTTTGCAAACCGGGACATTTCAACCGCAGATTCTATTAGGTCTAGTCCATAGGGTTGTTTCATAAACTACCTTGCATGTTTACTTTTACTGGGCGTTTTAGAATAATAATAATAACCATAGTAATAATAGGATTAATTTGTCGCCGAGTCTACTCAGTAGGCGTGTGGGGTATAGTTTCTAGGAAAGTGGTATGGAATCGCCGTCACTCCCCTGTCAACTGATACTCCAGGAACTTGGAGAAACTACTGGGAAACCGTCAGTTTTATCGACGAAAGTCAAGGTGGTCCTTATTTTGGAATAAATATGACATCCAGGTAATATTGACAAATATAAGATTACTCATTTAATTGATTAAAGTTAACCGACAGACACCAATCTTTTACCTTTTTTCTACCGGAGGGGCACATTCATCATCGTCTAGACAGACGTTTCGCACAAACATTACTTTCGCGCAAACATATTGTCAGCAACTCAAACATTAAAAACATTTGGATTTATATTATAAAAGGTTTATATATAGTTTTCCAAAAGTAGTTCTATATGAATGAAAGTGACCCCTATTGCTAAAACACATAAATGTATTCATACAAGACACTAATATTCGTTTGGCTAATCTTAACCAAATCATAAATGCATTAAAATTTCTCTCAGTGATGGATGTGAAAATACCTGTTCAGCAGTTTATCATAAATTCTACCCGACTGAAGAGGAATTGATATTTGCTAGAGACAACAGTGAGTAGCATTTCTTTCACTTTGAATCAGGATACAAATTAAAACAACATTATAGGCCATTTACTTGTTATAGGGCTATAAAGAGGGCTAAATTGTCATTTGAAATCTTGCCCACATGAAGTACGTACATTTTAGTAAAGTCCTCTTTTCATGTCGTTGTGCTAGGGAAGCAGTTTTAAATTTAAAATTCACCCCAAGACCCGTCTCCAGTGACGATGAGTCGACCTAACTTAGTACAGTCCATCTCAGCAGTAAGCCATAGGCCTATAACGATTGCTCACAGCAGGTCTCGAATCCGATTTTATCAATCTGTTGTCCCGTAACTATTGTGGCTTGCCGCGTGCGCTTGGTTTCTAACATTGCCCATTGGTTTACATGTACGCATTGGGGTTTATTAGTTTATTAACTGGATGTTTCAAAAAAGAAATGAATGCATAATGGCTCATATCAATCCAATCTCCACTGCATGCCCTGCTACTTTTTGAAGCTTAAAAGGTAGGAGACCGTTGACCCTTAACACTATTAAACTATGAACACAATAATACAAGTAAGCCTACCGTTTTCAGAAACTCATCCAGAAGTTTACGGAATGATAATTGAAACCGACTACGACAATTACGCCCTGACTCGCGAATACTTCGTAAAAATCAACGAAAGTCTGTTTGCCTTCTTCGGAAGGGGCTGTATACCACGCCAAGCCACTCTGGCGGCTCTAAGGAAACTGAGGCTACGTGTCCCTTGTCTTCGGGCTGCAAACTTCATAAAAGTGGAACACGTGGGTTGCGAGGGTAATGAGCTAGATGCGGCGTGCAGACGTGATCCTTGGGCGATATTCTGGTCTATGTATGCTCCCCGTGGACGCTACTGGGCTGGTCTGAGATGAAAGGGCAGATACCGTGGCTGGGCAGTACAGAGACATTATTAGAAAGATACAGCAGAGCCTCGTGACATACCTTAATATTCTATCTTCCTGTATTAACCAATTACGTTCAGTCCGAAAGAGTTGGAAATTTACGTCAAGCAAAAAAGTGTGTGCACAAGAAATCTATGTTCCATAGTTTGTTGTTCAGGGAATATCCACGGGGCATTTGATAATTTCTTATTGTTATAGCTGTTACATACATGTAAGTAGGTACATGTACTCCACTGTTGTCAATACACAGGTAATGTTCATTTTCACCAAGTTCTTTTTATTTTTATAATGAAATCCGTTCCTTTGGATTAAAGTGGTCGTATATTATATACGCTGTATATTATTTTTAATATCATGGCACATATTTTATCAAACACCACAAACAATGAATTTCAAAAGTAAAATCCATTTTATTAATGCATCACAGATTACTTGCAATGGCGGTTCCAAACAACTCCCCTTTCTTCTATCCAAAAACTTTCATACAGATCCAGGACATGCCCTTTAAAAAGAAGACAAACAACCATCTGAGGTTCATCAAGTCATGTTTATCTTCATCTGCAGCACTGCAGATGCCCAAAATAACCCCTTTTCAAATTAACATGGAAAAATTCATAATAAAAAAGAAAAAAAAATTAGTGCAAATAATACAATGAATTTATGAAAATGTTTTCAAAAAATCCTTTAGAACAGGATGCAATATAATTTGTTTGTTCCCCTCCCCACCCCCCACCCCTTCTGATTTCCTGGATCTGCCAGCAGCTCACAAACTTTATCTACAAAACACCATAGATCTCTGCTTTCCAAGACTAGCACCATATTGTACATGTATGAACACCCATAAAAATGGCAACAGAGCCATTATTCTGTGGCAGACACTGAACTTTTCATGACTTATTCACTTCAAAGATCATAAAAACAGGTAGAAAAGTCTCTGAAAATAAGAACCCGTAGTTCATGGTTAAAACATTTCCTTATTGCAACCCGTTTGCTATAGTGTCAATGGAGTACTTATAAAGTTTGCACAATTGATTAGGATGCAAAGTACAGTACTTATCTTAAGATGACTAAAAATGACAAACAGTTACATTAGTATGTCCTACTGGTTAACTTGAGAAACGAATTACATTAATAGATAGTTGCATTCACCTTTATCATACAGACTATACACAAAGTTATGTACTCAAAGCACTTATTAAGAAATATATAATGCTTGGTATAACATACCTATTATAACTGTTCATGCAGCTCCTACATGTAATGATGTTATTTCAGTGAATCAACCTAAGTATTTTCATTTTGACTTAAATAAGTTAAACATGAATGACTATTTCTGAGCACAATGTTGTATGTTTTTAATGGCGACAGTTCTAAAATCTAAAACGTAACATTATGTCAAGATATATCTTATCTGGAAGATTTTTATGATAGCTAGTGATAAAAAGAAGCTGTTCTTTGCAAACTTTAACATAAGTTATACCTACATGCACATGAGTTTTGCCAAATGTTGGAAAAAAAAAAGATTAATCTGTGTCAGAAATTTTCTAAGAATTAATAAGGTTTTTTGTCACAATGTCATTATTCATTCAATGAAAAAAAATTAATAACTTGGCTAAAAAAATAAAACAGGTCAGAATCACCCCAGACCTGAAGATTACATTCATCATTAACCAATATCAATAAATAATAAAATCCACAGGATTTGCTGATTATCACTTCTCCAGTCCCTCCATTTTTTTTCTCTCCATGTCATCACTGAGTTGAACCTGCGTCTTCTCTATGTTGCGTAGAATTCTTCATCTCCTCGTCAACAGTCTTGCACAACTTCCTCACCAGGGTGTTAAACTCCTCAGGTTTCTCAGCATACACATGGTGACCAGCACCTTTGATAATCTGGGTGAAAATAAACAAGAAACAAAACTGAATCACCATGTACATAACCGTTGAATTATTTCAAGGAAAGGAAAGGACCATGACCAAAAGGTGGCTCTCACTTTTTCAACCAAGATGAGCTAAGAGAAACTTGGAAGAGGACAGAAGAAAGAGAGAAGATGTGATGGGATGGCAGTGAGAGACAGCAGCAATAGGGAGGGGAGAGGTGGATAATCTGGTGGGAAGGGGGGGGGGTGGAAGTTACCAGGGAGAGGCTAAGATGGAGAGACCTGTGCACCATCTTACAACCAACAAGAAGGGAAAAAGGATAGGTGGGTAGGTAATTTGTTGTCTATTGATGTCATGTACATTTTAATTTGTAATATTGCAACAACCAAAGAGACTTTCAATCACAGGAAATCTCCTCTACCCTCCCATCTCTTAGTATTCAAAGTATAACAAAAGTGGCCATTTGCAGAGAAAAACAGCAGCCATAATAAACTGGTAATGTTACACAAACTTAAGCCATTCCCAATTTACTGCCATGTCTGAGCACGTCCTCGAGAAAAATAGCAGCCATTATATACTAGTAATGTTACACATGTAAACTTAAACCATTCCCGATTTACTTCCATCTCTAAGTGCCCTCCATTTTTATCCCTACAACTATACCTGAACATCCACATGGGAGTCGTTCCTGAGGTATTTCACCTGGTATCCTGTGCTGCTGTCAACCCAGGACCGTGACCCATAGATCATGGTCAAAGGCACACGGGGGCTCATCTCGTGGATCCTACGAATCATGGGGTTCTTTGCCCAGCCAAATGGGATACTCAGGGTGCTGAAGGCAGTCTCGCCGCTGAAATTGAGAAACAATCAAACTCTGGGTTATTTTTTGGCTGAAATTAGCCATCAGAAAAGTTAATGGGATAAATGTAAGAAAGGTAAAAAAATATTTCACTTTTTCTATCCACAAATATTTAATCATGTAATTCATTCCAAGAATGCCGTCCCTTAGGCAAACAGCACTATTATCAAACCAGTTCTTTGAAATTTTACTTGCCTAAGATTTGACGTTAAAGAAAATGAAAGTTCCTTTTTTTTCTTTGGTTTTACAAAATACATCAGCATTCACTCATGAGAAGGATTTACCTTGGAGGTTGAGCATTACAGTGATAAATATAGTCAAAGACAGGTATCTCCTCCTCTCTGCCTTCCAAACCAGCAAATTTGACCTCCAGATCTGGGCGGAACCTGCGTATTAATCCAGGACCTATAAAAGCCAAGTTGAAACTAGAGGATCAGAGAGGCGATACCGCCTCCGAATACTGTACCACCAGCTGGAGCANTCCCCATTTGAATGTTTTAGAGGAAAAACGGCACCATTTGGTACGGTTTAGAACTGTGAATCAGCTAATCAAAATTCTAATTCCAAGGGAAGGAAATTAGTGGTATCTTAACTGTACTTCAGAACCCCCTAAATCCGCCACTGCATGACGTGGTGTTATGGCGGGAAAGCTACTGAATCAATTCAAGTTGGTCACTTTTATTGTTAAGTCTGCCCGGAACGTTCCTAGTTAGATGACCTCATATGCTTTAACTTTCATTTTGCTTTACATTGCGATTACTGAGAGATTTCTGAGATTACACAGATTTTGTCTTCACCTGTGACGTTATAGATAACGATGAGAGTCAGAGCGGTTCACACCTGAACGGTTTAAGTTTTGAGTAGTCTTTGACATTTGACATGTCGACTGTGGGGCTGCCCCAGGCACTGTATAATCATATGAACAGTCTTGGTAAGCAGGGGCCTAAGGGGGGGGGGGGGGGCATGAAAAAAAAATGACATGTTTGGGTAAACCAATAGGGGCGACGTGACTTTTGAAAAAAAAACTACTTTCTGAGAAGATAGCACTTTTTTGTTGAAAGGGCAGTATGACATGCATGCTGCCATACCGTATTAGCTATTGACTCCATTCAAGTTTTATCTGTGACGTAGATGGTAAAGGACAGAGAAAACGACCCCTTCTAAGCATCATTTTAAAGACTAAAATGAAGAGAAAGGAAGCATTAAGATAATGACCAGCAAAAAATTGTTGTCAAATCGATCATTTATTCTAAACTATACCGGCTTTTCCCGTGGCTTACAGATTGCAGTTCGTTGCTGTAACGGACTGACATGCGTTAGCCGATACTCGAAGTCGTGACTTTCCGTTACCATGGTTGATGACGGCTTTTTTTTCCTTGTAGCCGCGCACGCCATCGATAGCGTTGTACCTGACCCACCCGCCTACCTAATATACTTCTTATAGTAATAAAATGCAATTATCAGAAATCATATCTTGCAAAAAGTATTGCATTAAACTCTTCAGCATTCGAACCACCGCGGGCAAGGGTATAGCTGTGTTTAAGGTAGCGGAATTACCACGGAGCCGCAGAAGCTTCGTGGGTAAATCTTAGACCAAATGAAACTTTCTACCTTGTCACGTAGAGGGCCAGTTTGGTTGTATATATTTACATCTGCAATTACAATCGATAGCCCGGGTGCCGTACAGATGTATTTCTTCTCGCGCAACGATAGTCCCCGAACATGGTCTTATCATCAGCGTTAAGTTCACGATGTACACGAGGCCGTGTTTGAGAAGACGACACGGAACATTCTATGGGTTCGATTTGTGCTGAGATTTTGTTTGGTATGACGTTAAACAGCACAATTGGATCAAAGGCGGTTATGGTTTAAGCAAGCCACGATAAGAAAAAGGAATCATTTCAAAACGTTCAAACGTGTAAAAGTAGTTGCAACGATGTAAATTTTGAAAAAACATATTTGACAAATAACTATGCAAAGAAGACATTTTTTCCTGCATAACTTGTTATACAGGCGGTAAGACAGGGGCAGATCCAGAATTAGAAGGGGGGGGGGTGTCAGTGTTTTCTAAGAATGACAGGCCTTGGATTTGAAGCCGCCCCTCGGCCCCCTTGTGGTGGGTTTTGGGGCCCGCTAAAGGGCCCCAAAATATTTTGGTGGTTTGAAGGCCAAACGGTGCCATTTGGAACGGTTAAGAACTACCAATCAGTTAGTTAAAACTCTTATTTCAAGAGGGGAATATTAGTGAGATTTTTTTCAGAAACCGAGGGGGGGTCAAGACCACCACCTAAATCAGCTACTGCAATGTATAGAGTTTATCCCTTACACGTAGTCTACGATATAATTCCCTGCACTATGTTACAATATACTCATTTATACTACTTTTTCAGAAACTCATCCAGAAGTTTACGGAATGGTGGTCGCCACCGACTACGTCAATTACGCCCTGACTCGCGACTACTATGTGAAACTCAACGAGAGTCTGACCACCTTTTACGGCAGGGACTGTATACCATGGAGAGCCACTCGAGCGGCTCTGAGGAGACTGAGGCGCTGCGTCCCTTGTCTTCGGGCTGCAAACTTCATTAGAGTGGAACACGTGGGTTGCGAGGGTAAAGAGCTAGACGCGGCGTGCAGACGTGATCCTTGGGCGATATTCTGGTCCATGTTTGCTCCCCGTGGACGCCTCTGGGCTGGTCTGAGAGGGGAAGGAAGATACCGTGGCTGGGCATTACAGAGACATTACCACTGACCTGACCCAGTGACACTACTAGAGTCATATTCTTTCTCATAGAGTCATTTAAGACAGTCTTCGTGCGTAAGACCATGTAAAGGGAAAACCAAAAGTTTTTAAATTAGTTTTAGCTGGATGTCTACTTAAATTGTTCTCATTTTTTAGATATATGTATGGCTTTGAAATTCCATTCAGCGCTATCCAATTTTTTAAAGAAATAATCCGAGGTGTAATGTAAAAATTCTATTAAGCGAATAATTTGTTGTACCTCATATGCCTTCCTCGGTGCTATTTTAATTTTAATTTCTTAAACGTAAGTCAATCTTAACTGTCCGCGTTTAAAAAATGTATACAAGTCTTTTTTCGCCCTGAAAATCTACTAATCTTTTCTAACTCAGACATTAAAAGGCCCTGAAATAAAGGTTAATGTGATACAAACCTAAAGTAATTTTTTTCTGAGCCCATGATCCTCCCCAGAGCTAAAGACCAAAGTGACGCCATGGATCGTTCTCGATACACAGGCCAGGGGCGGATTGAGGCCGTCTTCTGGGTCTTCCGGAAGACGGTCAGATTTTCAAGTTTATATTGACGAATATCCATTTTTTTTGTCAGAAGACGGTCAAAAATGGAGGATGGATCAACAAAGATATTTGGAAGATTGCCAGGAAATATCTCTGGATCCGACCCTGCAGGCAATCCAATAATATTTTACTTCGTTTTCATTTTCAAACGTTCTAAAAATCCGCTTCTCAAATCGCTCCTTTTAAGGAACTTACACTGAGTGGTGTCTTTATAAGTGTTCTCATATTCTCAGTTATCTTAAGCTTTTGATGATAATAAACCTTTGCAAAACGTACATATTCAAAACCATGAAATGAGAATAAGTGATAAAGTTAGAACAAGAGAGAGCGCAGCATTACGCTATGTCGCAGGCCTACGTGTGCCAAGGAGACCGCGACATTGGCGGATCCTAGTCTGTCCCATAATTTGACTATTTGTGAAATATAATCATTATGGTAATATCTCTTCGTGTGCACGTCACCGTGTGTAATACAGACGCTTTTATCTGTCTCATTCCGTACTCAGACAGAACATGTTCATGCCGCTGTCCCGGATGGCGATGATCGCCTTGATATTGGAAAGCCTAGGAATTTGCAGTACCTCTAGTAGCTGAGTTAATGAGCTATTTTTTCCTGTTAATTATTTTTATTTGACATCTGGACACCTCAAAAGAAACACACGTAGTGTATATTAGATGCAAGATTGAAAGTAATGTGTGGTGTAAAAGTACGTGGATTCATTGGTGGATTTAAAGGGGTGTCTTCTTCTTGTAACATTTTGCAAACCGGGACCATTTCAACCGCAGATTATTAGGTCTAGCCCATAGGTTTATTTCATAAATGTACCTTGCACGTTTACTTTTACTGAGCGTTTTAGATCAATAATAATAATAGTAATAATAGGATTTATTTGTCGCCGAGTCTACTCAGTAGGCGTGTGGGGTATAGTTTCTAGGAAAGTGGTATGGAATCGCCGTCACACCCCTGTCAACTGATACTCCAGGAACTTGGAGAAACTACTGGGAAACCGTCAATTTTATCGATGAAACTCAAGGTGGTCCTTATTTTGGAATAAATATGACATCCAGGTAATATTGACAAATATAAGATTACTCATTTAATTGATTAAAGTTAACCGACAGACACCAATCTTTTACCTTTTTTCTACCGGAGGGGTACATTTATCATCGTCTAGACAGACGTTACGCACAAACATTAATTTGGCACAAACATTCTAAAGTTCGCCATATTGTCAGCAACTCGAACGTTAAAAACATTTGACTTTATATTATGAAAGGTCTATATATAGTTTTCCAAAGATAGTTCTATATGGATGTAATTGAACCCTATTGCCAAAAACACATAAATGTATTCATAGAAGACACTAATATTTCATTTGGCTTATCTTAACTAAATCATAAATGCATTAAAATTTCACTCAGTGATGGATGTGAAAATACCTGTTCAGCGGTTTATCATAAATTCTACCCAACTGAAGAGGAATTGATATTTGCTAGAGACAACAGTGAGTAGCGTTTCTTTCACTTTGAATAAGGATACAGATTAAAACAACATTATGGGCCATTTACTTGTTATAGGTCTATAAAGAGGGTTAAATTGTCATTTGAAATCTTGCCCACACGAAGTATGTACATTTTAATGAAGTCCTCTTTTCATGTCGTTGTGCTAGGGAAGCAGTTTTAAATTCGAAATTCACCCCAAGGCCCGTCTCCAGTGACGATGAGTCGACCTAACTTAGTACAGTCCATCTCAGCAGTTAGCCATAGACCTATAAGTTATAACGATTGCTCACAGCAGGTCTCGAATCCGATTTTATCAATCTGTTGTCCCGTAACTATTGTGGCTTGCCGCGTGCGCTTGGTTTCCAACATTGCCCATTGGTTTACATGTACGTATTGGGGTTTATTAGTTTATAAACTGGATGTTTCAAAAATGAAATGAATGCATAATGGCTCATATCAATCCAATCTCCACTGCATGCCCTGCTACTTTTTGAAGCTTAAAAGGTAGATTAAGACCGTTGACCCTTAACACTATATATATATATTAAACTATGAACACAATAATACAAGTAAGCCTACCGTTTTCAGAAACTCATCCAGAAGTTTACGGAATGATAATTGAAACCGACTACGACAATTACGCCCTGACTCGCGAATACTTTGTGAAACTGAACGAGAGTCTGTTTGCCTTCTTCGGAAGGGATTGCATACCACGACGAGCCACTCTGGCGGCTCTACGAAGACTGAGGCTACGTGTCCCTTGTCTTCGGGCTGCGAACTTCGTTAAAGTGGAACACGTGGGTTGCGGGGGTAATGAGCTAGATGCGGCGTGCAGACGTGATCCCTGGGCGACGTTCTGGACCATGTTTGCTGCACGTGGGCGCTACTGGGTTGGTCTGAGAGGAAAGGGCAGATACCGTGGCTGGGCAGTACAGAGACATTATTAGAGAGATACAGCAGAGCCTCGTGACATACCTTATGTTCTATCTTCCTGTATTGACCAATTACGTTCAGTCCGAAATTTACGTCAAGCAAAAAAAATGTGTGCACAAGAAATTATGTTCCATAGTTTGTTGTTCAGGGAATATCCACGGGGCATTTGATAATTTCTAATTATTATAGTTGTTGCATACATGTATGTATGTATGTAGGTACTCCACTGTTGTTCATTTTCACTAAGTTCTTTTATTTTATTTTTTTTATTTTTATAATGAAATCCGTTCCTTTGGATTTAAGTGGTTGTATATTATATACGCTGTATATTATTTTTAATATCATGGCACATATTTTATCAAACACCACAGACAATGAATTTCAAAAGTAAAATCCATTTTATTAATGCATCACAGATTACTTGCAATGGCGGTTCCAAACAACTCCCCTTTCTTCTATCCAAAAACTTTCATACAGATCCAGGACATGCCCTTTAAAAAGAAGACAAACAACCATCTGAGGTTCATCAAGTCATGTTTATCTTCATCTGCAGCACTGCAGATGCCCAAAATAACCCCTTTTCAAATTAACATGGAAAAATTCATAATAAAAAAGAAAAAAAAATTAGTGCAAATAATACAATGAATTTATGAAAATGTTTTCAAAAAATCCTTTAGAACAGGATGCAATATAATTTGTTTGTTCCTCTCCCCACCCCCCACCCCTTCTGATTTCCTGGATCTGCCAGCAGCTCACAAACTTTATCTACAAAACACCATAGATCTCTGCTTTCCAAGACTAGCACCATATTGTACATGTATGAACACCCATAAAAATGGCAACAGAGCCATTATTCTGTGGCAGACACCGAACCTTTCATGACTTATTCACTTCAAAGATCATAAAAACAGGTAGAAACGTCTCTGAAAATAAGAACCCGTAGTTCATGGTTAAAACATTTCCTTATTGCAACCCGTTTGCTATAGTGTCAATGGAGTACTTAAAAAGTTTGTACAATTGATTAGGATGCAAAGTACAGTACTTATCTTAAGATGACTAAAAATGACAAACAGTTACATTAGTATGTCCTATTCGTTAACTTGAGAAACGAGTTACATTAATAGATAGTTGCATTCACCTTTATCACACATACTATACACAAAGTTATGTACTCAAAGCACTGATTAAGAAATATGTAACGCTCGGTATAACATACCTATTATAACTGTTCATGCAGCTCCTACATGTAATGATGTTATTTCAGTGAATTAACCTATTTCCATTGTGACTTAAATAAGTTAAACATGAATGACTATTTCTGAGTACAATGTTGTATATGTTTTTCATGGTGACAGTTCTAAAATCTAAAACGTAACATTATGTCAAGATATATATCTTATCTGGAAGATTTTTATGATAGCTGGTGATAAAAAGAAGCTGTTCTTTGCAAACTTTAACATAAGTTATACCTACATGCACATGAGTTTTGCCAAATGTTGGGCAAAAAAAAAGATTAATCTGTGTCAGAAATGTTCTAAGAATTAATAAGGTTATTTGTCACAAGGTCATTATTCATTCAATGAAAAAAATTAATAACTTGGCTAAAAAAATAAAACAGGTCAGAATCACCCCAGACCTGAAGATTACATTCATCATTAACCAATATCAATAAATAATAAAATCCACAGGATTTGCTGATTATCACTTCTCCAGTCCCTCCATTTTTTTTCTCTCCATGTCATCACTGAGTTGAACCTACATCTTCTCTATGTTGTGTAGAATTCTTCATCTCCTCGTCAACAGTCTTGCACAACTTCCTCACCAGGGTGTTAAACTCCTCAGGTTTCTCAGCATACACATGGTGACCAGCACCTTTGATAATCTGGGTGAAAATAAACAAGAAACAAAACTGAATCACCATGTGCATAACCGTTGAATTATTTCAAGGAAAGGACAGGACCATGACCTAAAGATGGCTCTCACTTTTTCAACCCAGATGAGCTAAGAGAAACTTAGAAGAGGACAGAAGAAAGAGAGAAGATGTGATGGGATGGCAGTGAGAGACAGCAGCAATAGGGAGAGGAGAGGTGGATAAGCTGGTGGGAAGGGGGGGTGGAAGTTACCAGGGACTGGACAAGGTGGAGAGATCTGTGCATCATCTATTCTTATCCCTTACAAGGAGGGAAAAGGATAGGTGGGTAGGTAATTTGTAGTCTAATGATGTCATGTACACCTTGAATTTGTAATACTGCAACAACCAAAGAGACTTTCAATCACAGGAAATCTCCTCTACCCTTCCATCTCTTAGTATTCAAAGTATAACAAAAGTGGCCATTTGCAAAGAAAAACAGCAGCCATAATATACTGGCAATGTTACACAAACTTAAGCCATTCCCAATTTACTGCCATGTCTCAGCACGCCCTCGAGAAAAATAGCAGCCAATATATACAGGTAATGTTACACAAACTTAAACCATTCCCGATTTACTGCCATGTCTGCGCACGCCCTCGAGAAAAATAGCAGCCATTACATACTGGTAATGTTACACATGTAAACTTAAACCATTCCCCATTTACTTCCATCTCTAAGTGCCCTCCATTTTTATCCCTACAACTATACCTGAACATCCACATGGGAGTCGTTCCTGAGGTATTTCACCTGGTATCCTGTGCTGCTGTCAACCCAGGACCGCGACCCATAGATCATGGTCAAAGGCACACGGGGGCTCATCTCGTGGATCCTACGAATCATGGGGTTCTTTGCCCAGCCAAATGGGATACTCAGGGTGCTGAAGGCAGTCTCGCCGCTTAAATTGAGAAACAATCAAACTCTGGGTTATTTTTTGGCTGAAATTAGCCAACAGAAAAGATAATGGGATAAATGTAAGAAAGGTAAATAATATTTCACTTTTTCTATCCACAAATATTTCATCATGTAATTCATTCCAAGAATGCCCTGTCCCTTAGGCAAACAGCACTTTTATCATACCAGTTCTTTGAAATTTTACTTGCCTAAGATTTGATGTTAAAGAAAATGAAAGTTCCTTTTTTTCTTTGGTTTTACAAAATACATCAGCATTCACTCATGAGAAGGGTTTACCTTGGAGGTTGAGCATTACAGTGATATATATAGTCAAAGACAGGTATCTCCTCCTCTCTGCCTTCCAAACCAGCAAATTTGACCTCCAGATCTGGGCGGAACCTGCGTATTAGTCCAGGACCTATAAAAGCCAAGTTAAAAAATGTTACAATTTATTTTCTTCACTATTAGCTTGTGTGGATTTAAAAGCTGGAGCAGAGAGACAGAGTTTTTTTTTTTTTCATGCCTATTTTAATTCAGCGATTATCAAAGCGAGGAAAGTTACAGATATGTCACATTTAGCATTAAATTATGGATAGAAGGAAAAAGATAACCTAGTAAATCATCTATTACTTTTCTGCTCTGGTGAAAACAATCCCAGAAATGTTCTTGTTGTCTTTGGCCATCCCCCTCCCCTCCCCCTCCACACACACATCTAAAACATTTTTGTCTATTTTCTAAAGCATATATCATGATCAAAGTTTTCTTTGGAATAGCTCATTAAAAATAAAATAATAATAATTATAATAATTATAAATCCAGGGCACACTTACCCCAAGGCCCTGCAGCTCTCACCACTGCCAGTGGGTTAAAAGGTTTCAGCAGCGTGGCCAGTGCCCTAACCCACAGTGGGAAGGGCCTCTGCTGGGGCACAGCAGGTCTCTCTGGGAACCCCCATGGATCCACCAGAACAAGGTGCTTCACTCTGTCTGGATACTTCATGGCATAACCAGCTGCCACAAACCCACCCAGGCTGTGTCCTAGCAGTACAAAATTCTCCAGTCCCACCGCTTCCCGCCAGTCTTCCACAGACTGCACAAACTGCTCCTCCACGATATCTGCCTCGTAACTGAAATTGGGCCTTGAGCTGCGCCCAAAGCCGAGCAAGTCAAAGGCGTACAATGCTCTGTCCTGAGAAATAGTCGCTAAGTTCCGAGACCATAAACCCACCCCTCCCCCCATGCCATGTATTAAAACTAAAGGAGTATTGCTCGCCAGGGGAGATGTATCTCCATTTGCTGTATGCAGTTCAGATTTGTCCTCAGTTTGATGGTGTAATATTCCAAGAGGTGGACTATTTTCTGCATCTCCTGTTTTTATTGTGTGTAAACTTCCATTGATACATATTGTCCACAGGCGATTTCTGCCACCAGTCACAGGAATATATCTGCCCTGGTACCGACCACTTAATACTGAAACAGATTTTTCATAAATTTTTTACAAATTACAAAATTCAATGTTTTAAATTCTGTAGATATAACATAGTGACTGTATTAAATGGCACCACAGTTCAGAGTTATGATTGCTTTTCTATAAAAAAACATAATTATCATGTAGTTCAATATTCAAAGACCTACATGAATAAAAAACTGCTTTATATTTCAACTTTCCCATTTTGACTTACAGTAGTTAACTTTCACAAAATTATGAAGTGCTTTCTTCATATAAGATGCCACAAAGTTTGTGTAAAACTTACTGTGTAAAAGTTTGTGTTCTGCCTCTGCTAACATCACTCTGGAGGTAGGTTTCCATCGGATCCAACTTCTCAACCAGCTGTCTCTGCATGTATTCAAATCCATCACAAAAATGATAAATGTAGTCAAAATGTTTTACATATGTATATTATAACTTTCCCTAATTATTTAATCACAATTTACAAAGCAACTGAGAGTGATACACTTCAACTCGGAGTTGGAGTCGGACCCGATCCGAACGTCCCTAACTGTCTCGATTTCGGGTTTGCAACGTACTAGTAAATGTAATTGTAACTTGTTATGTAAGGAAGCAAAACGAGGCAAGTTCCAACAAAATCCAATTAGAACACAAACAAAAATCAAATCCATTGAAGAGCTACAGAATGCACAGTAACTGGAAGTAGGTTGAACAATTTAGTTTAGTATGCTTTAGGTTGAGGTTTTGCTCTGCAATCAAACTTTACAACTGCACTAACTTTACAACCTACAGTGCAGTCAGCGTTGAACTTGGAAGTTGCCATCGTTGTATTTCGTACTGTCCCAGTACAGACAATCGAAAAAATCTTTCATCGCAAGCCGTCTTCGAAATACCATACATCAATATAAAACCCAAAACTAAATAATTATTAAAAATACACTGTCAAAAGCTTACCTATCAACTTCCAGCTCTACATGTTGGGTTTGTAGCTGTGCGTTCTGTGCTGGAAGACTGTCTGCCATTTTGGAAAACCACCAAACGTCACGTGTCGCACACGTCATTTTAGGAATCCCCTGATCAAGATAGTCTTTCCTGTCAAACTTTTTGTTTACGTTTGATAATTCATTTTACACAGCGTCTTTGAATTTCAAGTGAACACATTTAGAAAATAAAGCTTTATATTGTGGAAAAGAATGCAATTTGATAATATTTTTTATAACGTTGATAACGTTATTTGACACCACCCAACCTCAGTTTGTCCTCAAATCGCACGCCATCTGCTGGGTAAATCTGCGCGTGGCGGGAACCTTATGCAAGCAGCTGATTCTTTTGGTGAAGGCGCTGTGTCAAAGTTCTAGGTAAGAAATATGTTTTTGGTGCTTGAAATTGAACAAAATGCGTTTAAGTATATGCATTGATTAGATTAAATGGGTTGACTTATATGGACATGAGGCAAAAACTTGTGTAAGTCACTTCTGTCTGCCACTGCCTACGGGCATAGCAAAAGGAAATGGTTAGAATTCTGGCATAAAACACTGCCACCTACTAGTGCTACTTCTTCTGGTGGCTTGCAGTCTGTATAGATACAGGGCCTCCCATTCCCACCTTAACTGCCCCAGGAGAAAGATCTTGTGCTTATGTAACTACAAAAATTGCGTTTTCTCCTTGAGGTCGGTACATTCAGATGTACTACTGGTACCCTGACGTAGATTTCGCCTTGGTTGAAAATATTTAATATATGAGTTTTACTCTGGATATTAACTGTGGATAAGGTCTTTATCAAGATAAATTAACTGAGTAGGGTCTTAAATTTACAGAGGAAGTAAACAGAGGCAAAAGGTCCTTGGACTATTGTCTGTAACTTTAAAGCTCCTCTCCTACAACTAATTCTTTGGTCCCCAGTACACATGGGAGTGTCATGTTACAGTGCAGGTTAAAATGAGGTGGGGGAAGAAATGGGGAATTAAAGAGGAAAAGGCATTTTCAGTGTGAGATCTTACATCATAGAAGCTTCTTATATCACTCAAAAGTAGGCATTGCACCGTTAAAGAGGGAGTGGGGATGGCGATGAGGCTGCTTCCTGCTGTTTTTCATTTCATAACAGCATGGGATGGTGTATTGAATTTGACTACAATGATATGGATTCTAGAGAAAAAAGATGGGTTGTTAAAGTCCATTGTAAATACTGTAGAAGTGCACATACTGTCTGAAGGAAGAAAAGAGCTACATTGTAGCTTACTAAGAGGTTGGCTAAGAGGTTCTGATCAATTTTGGTTAATTTTAGCTAGGCTTTCCCTGTACAAACATACCCTAAAGCAAGGATTCCTGTATAAGACTTTAAAGAGAACAGTTTTCTAATAGGATGTTTGTTAGGGCGATGAACCTCAATGAATCAGGGGCTAGTCTCTCAGGTTCCCTGGTGATTTATTAGTGTTGAGATAAACCTAATACCCTGTGGAGAGATTAGAGGAGATTGTGGTCCTGTAGTTATTATTGGTTCCTTAGCTGCATCAAGCCGAGCAGGGTTCATGTTATTGTTAGATCTTGAGGATTTAGGTCCAGTTCACCAAGTGCTTTATATTTGGACTTGACTCCATGGAGAGGTTGACTCCACCTTAAACTTTTAACAAATGAATGTTTTGTGAAAAATGTGTTATCTTTCTGTAAGGTATTTGTTGATGTTTTTTTTCTCGTAAATCATCAGAACTTTCTTTTGCAGTTAGCTTACAGCCATTGTTGATGGTTTGATGTCACTTTTTATAGGCAAACACTGTTTGGATAATATTTGTTTTTGTGTCTAAGGTCAGGTGGGGAAGAGTAGCTACAGGTATAATAGTCTTAAGGTAGATCGGTCGTTACGTAATTTGATGATTTGCGCAATTTCAGCGCATCGTCAATCGTCTCTAACGACACTTCAGTCTGTTTTATCAATTTGAGGAAATAAAACAACTATCTATAAGATAAACACACATTATCAACTTGTCTGTAACTCTGTATGATCGATACAGATTTTCGACATTGTTTGTCGACTATGAATCCATACGACAACTGTAGCACGTTCATAGACTTGCCCTTCAAGAAATCAATTTGAATTGGCACTAGAGATGTATGACAGCTAAAGCTCTCAAATTATGCACGTAGATGCTATATCATGTAAAGAATAAGTGTTGTAAATTCCAATCAAAGCGGCTGCGTACATTTTGAGGTAGAACGCCCTGAATGTGCTGCAAACCGCAGCTTAGATTTCGATGAAAACCGGAAGTGCGTCGTACCGCCACTCATTTGGACTTAGAGAAATTTGGACTGAGAAATATTTCGTAGCTTATACAAATGTTCAGAAAATGGCCATACAGCTTGAAGATTATTCACTAATCAAAATTGAAACTGCGTTATATTATACAGAAAAATTGTGCACTTCTGACCTTGACTTGTCAGTGTAAACAAAGTGTACTGAACGCACCGCAAGCATGCACGTGAATACCGCATTTGATACTTTGTATCAGACGCTTCATTTTACCATAGAAGTTTCTCTACTTCTATGATTTTACTTGACAACACAGTGTTTACGATGTCACGTTCATGTTATATTCATTAAAAAATAACAACGGCAATAAACTATTTTCATATGCATGAGTATTTCCCTTATTATTCTCTTCGAGAATTTTGTTGTAAAGTTAATGGCTTACACCTTCTCATCACTTTGACAAATCTGAAAATAGCTGAGTATACTCACTTCAACTGTTAAACATAATGAAAGTTTTAAATGTACTTAGATGTCTCTCTCCACACACACACACACACACACACACACACACACACACACACACAAAAAAAAAAAATCATAAAAAATAACAATTTAGTGAAAAACACCCATTTCCCATTGCATTGAATGGGGACTTCTGACAAGTGCGTCACGCAGGGTGTAACGCACTTCAACTTGGCGTAGTTCTCTTATTTGGTCGGTGACCCCCAACTTTTTTGGCAAAATTAAAATCTACTTGGATGCCTCTTTACACAAAAAGTTTTTTAAAAAAATTCAGACGTTAGAAAAATCATAAAAAATAACGTTTTGGTGAAAAACACACATTTCCCCATTGATTGGAATGGGGAATAGTGCGTCACGCAGGGTGTAATGCACTTCAACTTGGCGTAGTTCTCTTATTTGGTCGGTGACCCCCAATTTTTTTGGTAAAATTTAAATGTACTTGGAGGCCTCTTTACACAAAAAAATTT